AACACCGCTGTTCATTCGTATGGTTTAAAATGGCCGCGACCTCGTGTTCGGGATACGAACGGCGGCCACCCAGCGTTCATCAATTAAGCTGCGGTTAACCGCAGCTTCAGGGAGGTTAATTGCCGGCACACTCCAGCTCCCAGGTGGTCCAGTCATTCGTACGGTTGTTCGGTAGATTGAAACTACCGAACAACCGGCAGAAAAGCACGAATACAGCTTTTCTGCATGCAAAAATAAAGTCTTTTACAAGGGGGCCATAGTCCAAAGGCAGCAGGCGAGCAACCAGGCTTCTCCAATGCAATGTGGCGAGATTGGTCTCGTCACATCTCTCCCCCTTTCCAAACAGACTAACAGGGTATCTGACCTCCTGCCGGTCAGTGCCCTTGTTAGTCCAGCAGCCCACCCACAACAAATAATCAACAGCACAGCCCACCCACAATAAATGGTTACTACACCTGGGTAAAGGGGAAGCTTGTCCATGTCCAGGTGCCTCACCACGGCTGTGCTGGGTACGGGTACGCTGACTTGGTGGGTTGCTGCGTGGGCAGAGACCAGCGGCACTCTGCCCTGTTGCCAACGCTACTGGGAGGGTAGCCTGGTGGAAGCCTGGTTGTTGGAGGGGGAGACCGACTGTCTCCCCTTTAAATACACCGCTCTGCTGCTGCTGCTGGAGACTGACCGTCTCCCCTTTGGTTACCCATCTCTGCTGCTGGAGGGGGAGACCGACTGTCTCCCCTTTGGCTAAACAGCCCTGTCGCTGGGGGGCAGGACCGACCGTCCCTACCCCCTGTGCTGGCAGTGTAGAGACTACGGTCCCATCTGCACAGTTGTGGGGCTTACTGTCTCCCCTTTGTACATTAAGCTGCCGCTGGGGAGAGGGGGTAACCAGCTCCTCTCCCATACATACTTCCAGCTGCGGGGGAGGGAGACCGACTGTCTCTGCTCCCAATACAGAGTCCTGCTGCTGGGAAAAGGAGACTGGGCTCTCTATTCCCGGTAGGACACTCTGCCGCTGGGGAATGGAGACTGGGCTCCCAATTCCCAAAGCATCATTCTGCCGCTGGGGAATGGAGACTGGGCTCCCAATTCCCAAAACATCACGCTGCCGCTGGGGAGGGAGGACACTGCTCTCCTCTCCCTGGATTTCCCACTGCCTTCCTGGCATATCACCTGGCTGCTGGGGGGCAGGAACAACTACCTCTGCCCCCTGTAACTCAGCCTGCCGCTGGGGAATGGAGCTCAGGCTCCCAATTCCCTGCAATATCTCCCGCTGGGGAATGGAGCTCGGGCTCCCAATTCCCTGCAATTCCTTCTGCTGCTGGGGGGCAGGAACAACTACCTCTGCCCCCTGTAACTCAGCCTGCCGCTGGGGAATGGAGCTCAGGCTCCCAATTCCCTGCAATTCCTTCTGCTGCTGGGGGGCAGGAACAACTACCTCTGCCCCCTGTAACTCAGCCTGCCGCTGGGGAATGGAGCTCAGGCTCCCAATTCCCTGCAATATCTCCCGCTGGGGAATGGAGCTCGGGCTCCCAATTCCCTGCAATTTCTCCCGCTGGGGAATGGAGCTCGGGCTCCCAATTCCCTGCAATTCCTTCTGCTGCTGGGGGACAGGAGCGACTATCTCTGTCCCCTGTAACTCAGCCTGCCGCTGGGGAATGGAGCTCAGGCTCCCAATTCCCTGCAATATCTCCCGCTGGGGAATGGAGACTGGGCTCCCAATTCCCTGCAATTCACTCTGCCGCTGGGGAATGGAGACTGGGCTCCCAATTCCCAATAAATCACACGGCCGCTGGGGAATGGAGACTGGGATCCCAATTCCCTGCAGGACCGGTGGAGAGACCTCGGTCCCATCTCTACCGGCCACCTGGGGTTCTTCCCAGAAAATATCCACAATGTCTTCCCAGCTGAATGGGTCTGGTTCTGGCTCTGTCACGCTGCTCTCCTGCTGAGCCTTCTCGCTGTATTGAAACAGCTGCTGGTAGCCCTGTTCTAGCTCCATCTCCCGGGTTACCAGGTGGACCAGGTCTTGCTCAATTTTGTGAGCGTCGTCCCAGTCATACCTGCTCTCCCTCCACTCCCAGAGATCACTGAACCGGGCTTGTGTAGGGCTCCCAAATTCGAGCTCTGAAAGCGACTCCCATAACAAGCCAGGACCATCAAACTCCTCTCCCTCTGGCTTGTCATGCTCGGCTGTCCAGGGTAGGTACTGTGCCCCATACCACCAGAGCGCCTGGTAGGCATCTTCTAGCCACAACTCCTGCCATACTAGGTGTTCCAATTTCCTCACCCATTCCTCCAGGGGCTGCTCTCCAAGGAAGGGCATCCGCAGGGCTACTCGCTTCTGCAACCGCTGGTCTTCCTTGGGGAGTCTCTTGCCCCGCTGGTACTCCACAATACCCAGTGCCTGGTACCAGATGCCTTTACGGACTGCATCTCGGTCATCCATGGCACCCTCATCATACTCCACTGCTGGTTCCATGCTGGTGCTGTCAGGGTCGCTGTACTGGGACATGCGTTGCCCTCAAATTGTAAATCCACGGAATGGTGTCGCCTGTAGCTGTCCTGTAGTCTGTGGGAACGATCCCGCCGCTTGCCACCAATTGTAACGGACCGTTTTGCACACAAGGGGTAAAAACCGTTTAGGCGATCGGCCCCCTTTCCAGAGATACAGGCACAGCTACTGCAGAACACCAAACTCCCGAACTGGATACAAAATAGCACTCCAGCTCCCGAACTGGAACCTCCCAAATAGCTGCTAGCAGACGAACAGGAAAAGCAGACGAACAGCTTACACTCCTGGCAATCAGTCTCTAACAGCATACAGTTAATCCCCCCAAGAACGAGACAAGGCTCCGTGTTGAGGGTCAAGCAGTGGTCTGTTTAATGAGGGCTACCTGCCCAGCTTTTATGCAGGTCTCCCACCTGGTGGACACTCCCCTAGGGGACCAGATGGAAGACTGTGACAAGGGACAGACAAGTATACAAATAGGACACACAGTCACAGTATATTCCCACAATGCATCCTGGCTTCCTCCCCTCTGCCCTGGGAGATAATTGGGAAGTAACTCAATTATCTCCCAAGACAAAGGCAAAACTCCATTACACACGTGGGAACACAAAACAGCATTATACTTTAAAATGCACAAAGTAACATTTACTACATAAAACACCGACATGTAACACATCCCCAGATAGCTCAGGTCTGAGTGCACATTATTAAGTGAATGGCACTCAGCCTACACGAATACAGTTCAATCGCCATGGAGCTAAAGTCTTTACAGTCAGTTTCATACGAATGGGCTCCATGGGATTCCTATCTGGGGTATAAGAAATTCACACAAAAATACCGAACACCGGGTCATTCGTGTGCTTTCACCGAACAAGAAGGGAGGTCGGCGGCTTCAGCGGTGTTCGCGCAAAACTGTGTCCGATTTTAGTTCCATGAAAATAGAGGCGAACACCGCTGTTCATTCGTATGGTTTAAAATGGCCGCGACCTCGTGTTCGGGATACGAACGGCGGCCACCCAGCGTTCATCAATTAAGCTGCGGTTAACCGCAGCTTCAGGGAGGTTAATTGCCGGCACACTCCAGCTCCCAGGTGGTCCAGTCATTCGTACGGTTGTTCGGTAGATTGAAACTACCGAACAACCGGCAGAAAAGCACGAATACAGCTTTTCTGCATGCAAAAATAAAGTCTTTTACAAAGGGGCCATAGTCCAAAGGCAGCAGGCGAGCAACCAGGCTTCTCCAATGCAATGTGGCGAGATTGGTCTCGTCACATGGACTACATGGGAAACTTAATGTACAGAGAATTTCTCCCATCAGGCACTGCTGCACGAGAGGGATACTCCCACTGAAATGTACCGTTAAGTGGATTATCACTCCGTGCAGCAGAACCGGCATTTCACATTTAAATGCATAACTTTTACACTGTTCGGTTTATTTAAACGAATGGACGTTCGGTAGATAGCTGGGGTCTGAGCGCACATTTCGTGAGAATACCGCTCAGATCCCAGCTAAACTAACCGAACGCCGCACGAAAAACATATTCATCAAAACCCACATTCAAAAGACCGATTGGCATACGGGGAGAAAAATACCGAAGAGCCCGAAACTCCCGAACGGCCTGGAAGTCCAGCGGTGTTCGCGCCGTCGAGTAGCCGTGTTCAGTACCACGCGCTCGACGACCAAACACCACTGGAGGAACAAAGGAACCAAGATGGCCGACCGCCACGTGGTGGTGCTGATCGTGAAACGAAAGGAAATACAGCTATCTGCTTTCGGCAGATAGCCCATACAGGCAATACAACATACGGTTTATAGTACATTATAACCAGGTACATATCACGTTACAAGAAATATACAGGCAACCCTTAAAGCCATAGTCTCTCTGTATTGTCCCAGTGGCTAGGTTTGCCACAGGTGTAATTCTCATTCCTGGGCTACCATACGCTCTCAAAGGCAACATAACCTACCTTGCCTCTACAATGTAAAAATATTTAACCCATATATTTGACCCTGTAACTTTCAAAAATGCTATAAAACCTGTACATGGGGGGTACTGTTATACTCGGGAGACTTTGCTGAACACAAATATTAGTGTTTCAAAACAGGAAAACGTATCACAGCAATAATATCATCAGTAAAAGTGCTGTTTGTGTGTGAAAAATGCAAAAAAAAAAAAAATCAGTTTCACTGACAATATCATTGCTGTGTATGTTTTACTGTTTTGAATCACTAATATTTGCGTTCAGCGAAGTCTCCCGAATAAAACAGTATCCCCCATGTACAGGTTTTAGGGTGTGATAGAAAGTTACAGGGTAAAATACAGTGCTAGCAAATTAAATTCTCTGGAATTTCGGCCTGGGTTGGCAGGCAGGTCCCTCAAATTGCAATCAATAAAATTACTTAAATTATGTAAAAATATTACGTAAATATGCACGCAGAATTTAAATATATATGAATATTTAAATATTTGAAGTCTATGTGTAATATATATATTCCCCCTGTATAACGCTCCCTCGCTCTCTGTATTAGGGATTCCCCCTGTATAACGCTCCCTCGCTCTCTGTATTAGGGATTCCCTCTGTATTACGCTCCCTCGCTCTCTGTATTAGGGATTCCCTCTGTATTACGCTCCCTCGCTCTCTGTATTAGGGATTCCCTCTGTATTACGCTCCCTCGCTCTCTGTATTAGGGATTCCCTCTGTATAACGCTCCCTCGCTCTCTGTATTAGGGATTCCCTCTGTATTACGCTCCCTCGCTCTCTGTATTAGGGATTC